CCGGAAAACGCGACAATGGCTCTGCGGCTCGTTACGCTGACGGATGAGACATTAGCTCGGCGCGCATTGTTTCTGTCGGGTCCGACGGGGCGCTGTCGGTGCCGACGCGGCCACGGCGGCTTAGCGCCGCCGCCGCCCGGTGATGGAGCGCAGGTGATGGCCGGCGCCAACAAAGGGTAATGGGCCGGCGGCCACCGCACCGCACCGGGCGTCCGTCCACCGACGGGGCGCGAGCGGGTGGCACCGGGTGGACCGGGCGGCTCCGTCCGCTCCCCGGCCGACTCCGAGCCGCCGCATTTAGCGTTCCGGGTCGGATGGAGCGCGATCCGTCTTTTAGCGGCCCATCAGCTGCCATTCTGTCACAACAGCGCGTCGGTGGCGGCGGCGGCGGCGGTGGGTGGCCCGGGGCGCGCACGGTGAGTCGTCTCGGTGAACACACCCGTTGTACGTCGTTCCCAAACGGCCGACCCTACCACAACTTCAGGTCGAGCATTGACACACAAACCTGGTGCTGCATAACGCTGCTTTATCAGATGAGCCCATCGACAATTTAATTTGATAAAGTGAGGAGCATCTCATCATCAGTGCAAAATTATTTTACCTTTCCTGAAAACGAATTTCAATGTCCCCAGCCGGCAGTCCAGCATCCTTATCAAAAAGCTTACAATTTAGTACGATCTTGTGAAATATGTCGAAAACATAATAAATCAGACCTAGCGCGTTTTACATTTCGTCTGCTAAATGGCGAGTGACTCGAGTATCAGACTCGCGGTGTGCTCAAGCCATGCGTGATAAGCGTGTCGTGATTTGTGAGCCAGAGCCTTCTGCAGCCTGCAGTTGCACCGCTGTTATATTAACACAACCCAAAGCAATTCAGCAAATCGCGACCACATACGACTTGTGCGCTGGAGTCTGGAGGTTCCTAAACAGGGAGCTTCCAGATAGGCATGTACTTACGAGGGGGAGGTTAATAAGGGATGACGGATGGCACCTATATTAAACAGCGAGCTACTCTATCTATCTCTCTCTCCTCTCTCTCTCTCTCTCTCTCTCTCTCTCTCTCTCTCTCTCTCTCTCTCTCCTCATCTTCTCCCTCCCTTCCCTGCAGGAATAGCAGGCCTATGCGCCACGTAGGGATTTATAGTCTGTTTTGACGGTAAATTTCAGTGGGTGACAAATATGATCAGTCCCGACAGTGTCGTGGAACTGAGCAGCATTTATCGCCGCGTGGGGAGCTGGCAGTTCAAAGAACCGGGCTCCGAATGATATATGATCGCTTCCTATACTTACACCGTAAATAACCAGCGATATAAAATAGGTGTTGCTGGCATATGTTGTCCATAATAAGAGACAAATTAAAACTCTTAACTGGTGTAGTCATAATGCACGGGGACATGTATGTAGCTGAGGAGATCATGAGACGTTTTTCATGGATCTTTACGATTAAAATCTATAGGTAGGTAAAGATCAAGACTACATGCTTCATCGTGTCTCACGCCAGCATCGTGCTCGACCGACGAATTTCCACCCATATGTGGTTTGAAATTGTGAATTCGTCGCCTTCAATGTTGTTGCTTTTGCTTTTGTATCACTCACTACTCGTTGTGACAGATTGAAAATATTGTTTGATATTATGGACCGCCGCCCGCCCATTTGAGCCGCCCTCCGCAGAGGCCGCGGGTACGGTTCGTTCGCCGTCGGTCGCCCCCTCCCCCCCCCCCCCTCCGTCGGTGACACCGTCGGCTGTCGTGGAGACAGACGATGCTACTCATTGTCATAACGAGCCGCCACGGGACCGTGTGCGGAGCGACTGCGGCGCGCGAGCCGCGACAGATGATCGCGCCCAGATCACCGCACTATTTATACAGCCGGTGATTTAGCGGCAGGCCGATGCAGTGCCGGGTGCCGCGCGCTGCCGCCGGGATCGGCACCCGCAGCACCCACCGACGGGTGCAGGTCGGTTACAGCTGTTTGGTTAGCGTCTGATTGATTTGATGGCAGCGACCGTCATTTGGCACGGCCCGGCGCCAATTAGACCGCGCCAACGCAGCCCCGAGACCCCGGCGGGGGCTGCACGTGATGACATTCATGGGTTGTTCGGTTTGTTATCGCTGGTTTATGATGATACATCTCCGCTGGTGTATCAGTGTTTCACTGCGAGGCGATGTGTCTAGACAGCAGTCAGCACTCGACAGAAAGGCACCGGATATATCGCCAACTGACACTAAATCTGCGGGTTTTATTAGTTCTCCGCCTGGTCAGAAGGGTGAAGTTCGGGCAGCTGCACTACCGTCTACCAGGCATTCGCTCCATGCTAAACTGATACCAGTAGCGGCGGAACACCTTCAATTAAGGGGGGGGGGGCACTGTCGACTTTTGGTCCCATTCTTTCCATGCAACGCCCATAGCGCTAATGCTAAAATGCCAAAATCAAAGGGGGCACGGTGCCCCGGTGCCCTCCCCGTTCCGCCGCCTATGACTGATACCAAACTGTGTCTGGCGGTCTTCAGCTACCGAACGTGAAGCACTGTCAAGTTCTTGAACGTTGCGACTGAACGTTGATAGCACGACTCGAATAGGTTCGCTCACGTCTAGTCGAAATATGGGAGACTGAGGTTGATTTTAGCCGTTTTCACGACGGCCATCTGGTACACATTTGGTGCATATTTGGTGCAGATTAGGTGGAGATTTGGTCAATTTAGGTTCAGTGTGTCTCTTGTAGCTATTAGCTAGGGTTGCACTAATTGCTTATATGCCTGCTTTGTCATATTATCAGAGAGTATCATCGATTAAAACACTGAAATAAATTCATAAAATAAAGATATTTGCTGTAAAAGAGATTAGGTGCAGATTTGGCCAAGTTAGGTGCACTCGCCGGAAAGCCTGTCGTGAAAAGGGCTTTTAACAGTTTTTGTATTTCATCATCTCGTACAAATACGTTTGTAGCCATTAAGCTCTTTCGTCTGAATTGTTGTGAGCACTGTTTCGAGAGGCATAGACATAGGCTTAAAAATATAATCAAAAAAAGTAACCATACTCTCATAATTAAAATCAAAAATCTCAAAAAAGGCCAGATAATCTCGAGGAGCTTTCGGCTTACGCCTTCTTCAACTCGCCTTCTTCAGAGCGAGTTGAAGAAGGCGTAAGCCGAAAGCTCCTTGAGATTATCTGGCCTTTTTGAGATTTTTGATTTTTATAATGAGAGTATGGTTACTTTTTTATTATATTTTTAATTGAGCTCTTTCCGTTATTTTCAAAAACTAGGTTGTTTTCGCTTTTAAGTATATACAGTTAAAACATTTCCGAAATGGCATCTTTTTTTGGGTCGATATTGTGGTCCGACAAAGTCAGTTCAGCTGTTACATTTTACCCCGGATACGAGGTGAAAAGTAACGCCACCCGGGGACAACATGCTAACTTGCAGGTTACAGAAAGTATTTTTTTCAAAAACTTTGATTTATCTACCGTGTAACACATGTTCATCTCCTCAGACATGGTAGGTACGGTTCTTTTAAGGAAAAACAGACTTTAAACCTCGCACTTACTTACGAGTATACGGAGGTTCGAAGGGTCCTCTTCTCCCTCGTTTCTTTTTTAGAATAAATCGCGTAAAAAACTGCCAATTGCGACAAAACTTCAGTTGTCACTTGTCTAACGTGTGGGGGGAGGCGATTGGACCCCCCCCCCCCCTGCCGTTCGGCCCCTGAGTGAGCATAGAGCCTCGCGGAAAAAACGAGCGTATTGCCCGTGACAAAAGGAAGCCGATGATCCCCAATTTTAAGGTCCTAGGTCATTGGTTGATCTTCCAGGTCAGGTCAATGACCCAAAAGTTTGGAAACCTAATTTAAATACGTAATCAAGTTCGAGCTGTGTGGTGTCTTTCAATCGCGAGACGTGTGACACGACGAGACTGAGAGTCTTTGTCATAAATATCATAAAATAAAAGAAACACTGACCATGCGAACCGACAACCGCTCGGTATTGAACTGCAGTAGGTGTTAATTTAAGGTGTTGATTTGAATAGAAGGGTGTTAATGATTTACACCCAGTCTAAATTCATGCCGTTGAACTCGGCGCACGATAAGATTGGGCGATGCGTTCGTGCGTGCTGTGCAGCAAGCTTTGATTGACGGAGATCCAGGCCCGGTCAAAAAACATTTTGGCAACATTGTTGTTATGTGTTGACCGGTTCCATCGGAACTCGCGGCTGCGGCCTGCGGGCGTCTGTTTCACAATGGGCTTGGCAGAAAGCCGTTGATCGCCAGATGCACATTTTTGTCTGGTGCCGAGTGGGTCTGGTGCATCTCCCGACATTCCACCAACGGTACCCGACTGGCATCTGCAGGTCCGATTCTCAGCCCGACCTGCTCCCCTGCTGCCTGTTCTGGCAGTGACCAGACGAGGGCAGCTGCTCCTATACCTCTCGGTTATAACCTCCTGCTCCCTTCTCCTGGCACCTACCTCTCGGCTTCCATAAATTACCTCCCACCTCCTGCCTCCAAACTTTTCTACCCCGGTGCCCAATCCAAAATCCAGCGTCTCCCCTCCCATGTCCTGGCTCCTAGCTCCCGGTTCCCACCTCACGGCTCCCGCGGTTCACGCCCTCCACTACTTCCAGACGCGGTGGCGGTCTTTAGCCGAGCACATTTTCAGTCAGGCGCTCAATGGAGCTCCCGGCCGGTGGCACGTCCGCCTCCGGCCGGACCGCTAGTCTGGCCTGGCGCCGCCAGCGGCATCTGGAGCCGCGCTCTGTCGCCGTCGACGGCACCGGCCGCGTCGCTTCCGACAGCGGCGCAAACACAGCGGGCCGGCCAGCTAATGAGCCATTACACGGGGCGCCGGCGCACCCCGGCTCAGTGGCCGGCTATTCATCACGGCAGCTATGTCGGCGCCGGCGGCCGCGGCGCCACCAATCGCCGCGCGCCGGCCGACGGGGGCGGGGCCTGCCCGTCGGCGGCGACGGCCGGCCGCGCCGCCTCAGGTGCGCGCCCCGCGGCGACTCGGCGGGTCGGCGGCCATGGAGCGCGGCGCGCCGCACACGACGTGCTTCTCGATTGATAGTCTGCTGGGCAGGCCGCCGCGGGCGGCAGAGACGGGCGCGGACCGTCCGGCCGCCTGCGCCGCTGACGCCAGCGACGATCACCAGCCCCAGCAGCACCAGCAGAACCAGCACCAGCAGAACCAGCGGCAGCAGGCGGCGGCAGAGGCGGAGGCGGACGGCGGCGGCACCGACTGCGTGTCCACCTCGGTCCAGGACTGCGACCAACGCGAGAGCCGACACGCAGGTACAGAGTGCGCAGGGCGCAAGTCAGCCGCGCTGGTCGGCTCACTAAATAACAATGCGGCGCGGGTGCATTCTGCTAATTTTTCACTCGTCGGCAACCCAAACCGGGATTATTGTGGAAGACAGGCTCTGCGGCCGTCTTAAAAAAGCTTCCGTGGTGGAGAAAGCAGTAATACCTACATATATGCGGATGGTGCAGAATGGTGCAGAATGGACGGTCACACACAGGAGCGCACACTTGTGCCCGTCCATCTTTCCTAATTCCTAGGAAAGCATTCATACGTATTACGTACCTACATAGGTATGTGTAGGTATTGTATTGCAGGCCATATCATATGAGTTGTAACAGAACGTTCAGCATTCATAAAATTTGCATTGCCCGCGCACATAAAATGAAAACATGCAAAATTATATTTTATTTTCTACTTCTATTTGCACATTAATGCATGATAACACGAAATCCGAGCATTTCTAGATAACAATTTTCTTTTAGCAGGATGCCACCGAAGTATTCAATACCTATATCACCTTTCTTGGTACTTGAGGTGAATATTCTTTTCGTGATAATTGATGCAGGCAAATGTTTCCAATCCGCATGTGGCCGCTTTCGCGACAACATGGTGAAGATCAGAATACAAACCAAACCTGTCTACCTATTCCATTGGGCTTAGATCCCAGCGCACCGTTGATGATCCATTATTTGTTAAAAATCTTGAGTTTGCATGCACATGCAGTGTGCACGCGAAAGGGGTATAGGGCCTACAAATAGTCCACCAGTCTAGTATTAGCTATTTTGCTCAAAAACAGTTCCTAAATAGTTCGACTGAATGGGCTTTCTCATATACCTAACTGCATGCATAAAGCATTTAGCCCCTTAAGAATGAATATTTAGGTTTATGTTCGCCACCACCTTTTCCATAGCAGATAGCGGCATCGCGTTCCTTTCAGCGACAAGTACTTGTTAAAACGTCGTAATGACGGACAATTTAGCTAACAATCTCTCTGCCATGCGATTTTCAAACCGGTCTGGATAAAAAGTGCATATCTTAGAAAGAGATAGCAACGATTTAACCCTCGCCGGCACAAGTGATAACCTCCCCCCCCCCCCATAAGTTTTTTTTTAAATAACTCGCGTAAAACGCGGCCGATCGCGACGGCCCTTGAGTTAATCAACTTTACACCTACCCTGTAAATTTCATAACCCTGACCCAAGTGACTTTTGACCTGTGACCTATTTCTCGAGACCATGTTTGGCCGTAATCGCGATTCGGCGTATGTCAGCCCGCATTAGCCGCGCGTTTGCAGCCTTTTCGTGGTTTCAAGCGTTGAAACATGTGGCATGATGATGCCATGCATTAGCCCTCGCCGGCACAGGAGGGGGGGGGGGGGGGAGGTGATGCAACCACCTAAGGTTTTCCGCGAATAACTCGTGTAAAAAGCGGACGATCGCAACGAAACTTTCAGTACCCTCGCATTGATCAATTTTACACCTACCCTGAAAATTTCATGACCCTGACCCGAATGACCTTTGACTTGTGACCTACTTTCCGAGACCATGTTTGGCCGGAATCGCGATTCGGCGTATGTCGGCTCGCATTAGCCGCGCGTTTGCAAGCTTTTCGTGGTTTCAAACGTTCGAACATGTGATTTGATGTTGCTCCCATGCATTAGGGTGGATGTCAAGGTCACCTGAAGGTCAGGTCAGGTCATTGACCTTTTATGACCTCGGTCCACTTTTTCGAGTTTTACATGTTGCTGGGCTAGTTTTTGGAGCTGAATTCGAATTTAGCAACCATTAGAACATTAACCCGGCCGGGCCCGGGGGGTAATCCCAACCATCGCAGCCCGGGGGGGGGGGCGTTTTTCGCCCCCCCCTGTCTAACTCCGTAAATAAGGGAGCTACGGAAACAAAAGCGATATCAAACGAAAGGTCCTTACGAGACGATTCTAATGCACCTAAAATTTTTGACCTCAGGTCAATTTTCAAGGTCAGAGGTCAAGGTCAAAGGCCAAAACCGGCACATGTGTAGTGATCTCAAAGTAAGCCTTCTAGAGGACGGCAGGCTGCATCAAACCGGCAAAATTGGGTGTCAAACGAAAGAAGAGAATCTGGGGATTCTGAAAATGTGCTCCAAATCAAAGGTCAAGGTCAAGGTCACGCTCAAAATTGACCTCAAACTTGGCACTTTTTCGCACATCTTGCGTGCTAACTTCCAAGATGTTTTGAAATGCTTTGAGGCTTATCAGTTCCCTATATGTGGTTCATCTTACGATACAAGGCTGCTCAAAGGTCAAGGTCACAGAAGAGTATCCCTGCTAGAGGCTATTTCACTGATTCAAGCTAGTAATAATAAATAAGACAATTTTGCCATCCGGAAGCTCTAAATGAAGGCTTAGAGGAAAATAGATGCCAGATTCGTGATCAGCGGGTACAAATCCATCTTAAACCACCTTTCATGTGTCAAGGTCAACCAGAGGTCATTCGAGGTCACATGAGGTCAACATGAAACTTGACCTTTTCCGAACAAAATATATATCATTCGACGCGGCTTGACAAGGCGAATGCGATGGTACCACTGCCGTAGCTCTAGGACCATTTTTGTCGAAGTTATTTGCAAAAAACTAAAACCACATTTCGGGGTCGTTGACCTGACCTCTGACCTCAGGTCACCACAACTATTTTTCTATTTTTCTCTAGGTCAAACGCTACACAGCCGTGCTCGTAATTTGTCTTTATCTCTAAAACTCTATTTTTAGCAGCTATTTGAAGTTTGCGTCTGTGACGCCGATTTTTGCCGTGCAGGGGTCTAGAAAAATGGACCTTGTGACGTCATGAAGGGGGCTAGGTCCAAATTTTTTACTTCAGAAGATGTCAAATTGATGGGAGAAAAGGTACTGAAAGTTTCGCCTTCCTATCCCTAAGCGTTCGGGAGTTATCGCAAATATTCGCCAGGGGGGGGGGCGAAAAACGCCCCCCGGGCCCGCGAGGGTTAACGAAGTAGTTTTGGTGCCTTCGTAACATGTTACGAAGCTGTCAGAGGCGGTTGATACGTACTACGAATACCCGTCACGACCCCTACTGGTTGACCTGACCTGACCTGACCCGACCTGGGTCTAAATGCTTAAAGACATCATCTGTGATCAAAACTAACACGATATTCGTGATCAGCACCCCGTAAAACTCCATAGTAGCCACACCCTACGACTTTCTAAGAGGTCCCGATTTTCCCGACTTTTGGGTCATTGACCTGACCTGGAAGGTCAACCGATGACCTAGGACCTTAAAATTGGGTATCATCGGCTTCCTCTCGTGACGGGCAACACGCTCGTTTTTTCCGCAAAGCTCTAGCTCGATCAGGGACACAACGCGAGGGGTGATCGCACCCCCCCCCCTCCTTGTGCCGTCGATGGACGCAAAATGGCCTGCGCCGGCGAGGGTTAAAAAAATCATGCAACCAACTCTTATTCATGGAGACGAACAATGTTATTGTTAGTGTTTTAATTACATATAATGAGAGACGTGAAAAGGCTTGGGATTGTTACCTACATAGCATTGCAGTGAATTAAATCGAAATAGATTGGCATACAGGGTGTCCCATAAGTTCCTTCTCACCTTATTTTTTTCTTTTAGAGGCTCTCTTATTTAACCCTCGCCCGCACATGCCATTTTCCCATCCCAGAACGCACATGGGGGGGGGGTTGCCACCCCCCGCGCCGTTTCGTTCCTGTTGGAGATAGAGCTTAGCGGTAAAGACCAAAAAGATTCTTTGGGAAGAGACGAATCCAATGATACCCGATTTTACCTTCTCAGGTCAGTCATTGACCTTCCAGGTCAACTCCAACTAAAAAATGTTGCTGTTTTGGGTCACCGTTGGATATCAAGTGCGCTGCTTATCATATACCGATGACGATGCCGTTTTCTGGTGCCAAGCCAGCTAGAACCTCTTTGTCACACTACCCGACCAGATTTTTGCTGATGAGGTCATTTCAGGTTAAGTTAGGTCAAGGTCAGTTATATGTGTTTGTATGTCTGTGTGTGTCTGTGTGTATACTGATGTGTGCACCGATTGTTTTTGTGTCCATATTACATGAAATCATGATCTGAGAAGCTTTTACCAAAAATGCAGTCAAAAAAACTTCACAAAAAGTAAATTCAGCTTGCCTAAAACGCAATTATCTTAGATGACCTAGGTTGACCTTGACCCTGACCTTGACCCCTGTACATCGTCGAACAACATGTTCCATGATAGGTGGGAGGTAAGACTGGCAAAAAAGGCCGAAATCAAGGTGTCAAAAGCTCACAAGGCCCATGGCAAACGCAAGATGTTGAGAATTGGCCATTTGGGTCATGACATGACCTGACAAACAAGGTTACATCTCCGAAACCAAAAATCACAGAAACTTGAAATTTTCAGTGGACATTAAGAAAGGATAGAGGAGCAGCTATACCAAAAATCAGCCTTTTAGCTCTAAAAATGTTGAGTGCAGAGCAGAAAGACTACCTGGGGGGAGGGTGGCAACCACCCCCCCCCCCCCATGTGCGGGCGAGGGTTAAAGCCACGCTTAATTTATTTTGTAACTGAGCTTTTGGGGTTGCCATGGCAACTTTGAATATGCTCCACGGTAACTAATTCGTCTAGACAAAATATTTTTTGCTATAGAGTTCACTTCCTGTGGAGACGGCTTACGCCGCAACATAGAGGTCTCCGTTACGGGTACGTCTCAGTATTTAGTCCGCACGTGGGCCATTCGCGACGGTTGAAGGCGATTGAGGCCATCCAGTTTGTAGCCAATGTCTGTCGCTAACTGGACGCACAGTCAGCAAGTGACGCCGATGATTTGTCGGGAGTCAATCGCTGCAAGTTTATGCTCTTTTTTGTCAGCTCTCAGGAGTGAGCCATGTGGCCAAAACTGTGTAGCGCCAAAGTGGCCGTCAAAAAGGTCTTAGCGTTAGAAAGTTGGTAAGCAGGCTTTTCAAGATGGATTACCAGCTGTCTAAGA